GTATGCAGATCTGAGTAGTGTGATGATATCTCATGCTGTCCCACTGTATCCTGCCCAGACATGAATCATCCCTTTGTCCAGTGTCTCCACATTGTAGACACTTGCCGCCAATTTGTCCCTCAGTAGCCATCTGGACTATCAGATCAGCTGTGGTGGCATTGCAGTGCTTGTGTTCAGGTCACCTTATTTTACTTACTAATGGCCCCAAAGCGCAAGAGTAGTGATGCTGACAATTTGGATATGCCACAAAGAAGCCATAAAGTGTTTTCTTTTATTTCTTCTTTTTTTTAAAATATATTCTATTGATTTCCTACAGAGAGGAAGGGAGAGAGATAAAGAGTCAGAAACATCGATGAGAGAGAAACATCGATCAGCCGCCTCCTGCGCACCCCCCACCGGGGATGTGCCCGCAACCGAGGCACATGCCCTTGACCGGAATCGAACCCGGGACCCCTCAGTTCGCAGGCCAACGCTCTATCCACCGAGCCAAACCGGCTCCGGCAAAAGTGTTTTCTTTAAGTGAAATGTGAGCATTCTGGACTTAATACGGGGAAAAAAAATCATATTCTGAGGTTGCTAAGATCTGTGGTAAGAACAAATCTATCTGTGAAGTTGTGAAATGTGAAAGTCATGCTAGTTTTGCTCTGCCTCAAACTGTGTTAAGTTATAGGTGCAGTTCATAAGTGCTTAGTTAATGTAGAAAAGGCATTAAGTTTGTGGACGGAAGATATGAACAGAAAATGCGTTCCTATTGACAGCAGTGTGTTACACCAGAAAGCATTGTGCCTTTAGGAAGATTTCAGCAAGGGATCGTCTAAAACAGCCGTTGGCAAACTACGGCCCGCGGGCCGGATCCGGCTGTTTGAAATGAATAAAACTAAAAAAAAAAAAAAAAAAAGACCGCGCCCTTTTAGGTAATGATGTTTACTTTGAATTTATATTAGTTCACACAAACACTCCATCCATGCTTTTGTTCCGGCCCTCCGGTCCAGTTTAAGAACCCATTGTGGCTCTCGAGTCAAAAAGTTTGCCACCCCTGGTCTAAAATGAGTGATCACGTTCAGATAACCTTTATTCCAGTATGTTATTACAGTGTTTCTATTTATTATTTATTGCTAATTTCTTACTCTGCCTAATTTATAAATTAAACTTTATCATAGGTATGTACATATAGGAAAAATCATAGTATAAATGGGGTTTAGTACTATCTGCAGTTTCAGGCATTCACTGAGGGTCTTAGTATACCCCCCAGATAAGGGAGACTGCTATGCAAAAAGGTGAATGTTACTGCTTTTAAAGAAGGAAGATGGATGTATGAACTGACAAAGTATAATATGATACGTGCTTAATAATGTTTAGAATATTCTGGCCTTGGCATGGGATAAAGTGTTAGCCTGCCTTTAGGCATTGGGGAACAAAAAAGAAGCAGATATAGTATCTCTCTTATTCTCCACATGCTAGCTCTTGTATTCCTTACAATACCCTTATGAATAAGGTAGGTGGTAGTATGATAACCATCTATATAATAAAAGCCTAAACGACCATTACGGCAGAATGACCAGAATGACTGGTTGCTATGATGCGCACCGGAGCTGCCCCCTGGTGGTCAGTGTACTCCCACGGAGGGAGCCTGGTCAGCCAGAAGCCGGGCTCATGGCTGGTGAGCGCAGTGGGCGGTGGGAGGAGCCTCTCTTGTCCACAGCAGCACTAAGGAGCAGCAAAAAGGCGGGCGATAAGGAGCAAGGGGTCCCGGATTGTGAGAGGGTGCAGGCCAGGCTGAGGGGACAACCCCCACCCCCAGTGCATGAATTTTGTGCACCGGGCCTCTAGTTACATAAATAAGCAGACAAGGCCTAGAGATCCAAACAACTTTTTCTACCAGTATCATACACAGGATTCAAATTTAATCCAGTATATTTGTTATCTCTTAAATTGGTGTTGTACTTTGAAATGCAGAAAGCTACAATAGTAAAAGTTGACCAAATGTAAAGCACAGGACTAGGTATTACTATGAGGGATTTAAAAAGTGGCGCCAGCTGGTGTGGCTCAGTGGTTGAACATCTACCTATAAACAAGAGGTCACAGTTAGATTCCTGGCCAGGGCACATGCCTGGGTTGTGGGCTCAATCCCCAGTAGGTGGCATGCAGGAGGTAGCTGATGTTTCTCTTTCTCCCTCTCTCTTCCTCTCTCTAAAATCAATAAAAACCTATTTTAAACAAAAATAAAACACTGGAAGGGCAGAAGATTGGGTGTTGTGGATGGGGCTGAAAGATGACATCACAAAAAGAAACAAACAGTTCAAGGGAAAAGGAGAGGTTAAAACTTAGGTAAGGTCCTCTACCCAAAGGATTGGGCTACACAGTGACTTCCTTCAAAGAGTATATATGTGATATATAGAAAGGGAAGGAAAAAAAGTTATTTTGTGGTAGAGAAACTTGGCAAGCTACCTCAGCCAGGTGATCAAGGTTAACATCAGTAGTAATTAGTCAGTTGATAGTATATTATTTTGATGTGATAAAAATTGTACACTGTGATCTTCCCCCCAAACACCCATAATTACAGTTAATCATTGGAGAGAAAAATCAGACAAAACCCAATTAAGGGACATTCTACAATATACCTGACCAATACTCCTTAAAACTGTTAAGGTCATCAGAAACAAAGAAAGTGAGAAACTATCACAGCCAAGAGGAACCTAAGGACACATGACATTCAAATGTAATGTGGTATCCTGGTTGGGATCATGGCAGAAAAGGGGCATTAGGTAAAAACAAAGAGGTTTCCTAAAGAATACAGGTTAAGTAATGAACTACTCAAGTTAAGGCTTCTCCACTCACTGCTGTGTCTATAGGTGCTCAGCAAATAATAAAAAGAGAACTCATTAAAAATGTTAAAAACTCTAAGTGATAGAACCATCAGATCTAAATGGTAGAGTTAGAAAGGAATAACTATCATCATTTCTGGCTCAATTCTCAGCACATTTAGTACAAATCAAATTGGTAATCTCTCTCAGGCAGCTATCTTCCTGAGGTAGTGGGAAAAATTCAGAATTAGCTATATGTGCAAATTTACTCTTTTTTAAAATTTTGTATAAGAGTTTATTTAGGCCAAACTGATGGCAATGTCCAGGAAGCAAGATCTCAAATGTTTTTCTCTCCTTTTTTAATGGATAGCTAAGACAATTTTTGTAGTAAGATAGGAAGGAAAGAAAGAGACTTTATAACACTTGCTTTGTATCCATATGTGCTGGAGATACATTCTTGAATGTGGCCTCTATCTTAATGGAGCTTGTGTTCTGTTGGTGGTCACATTCTGTTGTGGGAGAGCCAATCATTCAGCATAATTAAGTGACTTATCTCTCATAAGACAGCAAGTGACAAGATGTTCATTGTCCTTCTCTCATGAGTTTATAATCTAGAAGACATTGAACAACTTAGTTTAAGTGTCACTTCCTCAGAAAGACCTCTGTCCCTTCAGTCTAAATTAAGTCTCTTCTGTTACTCTAATAACACTTTATTCTCTTCTTTCAAATGGTGATTATTATAATTATTTCAAATTACAACTCATACAAATTATTTGGGCATTCATCGTGTTTAATTTCTCTACCTGTATTAGACTGTAAGGATGGAAGCATAACAGTTCTCCACACAATTGTATTTTCAAGTCCCTGGTGCAGTGCATAGTTAGCATTCAACAAAGACTTTTTGAGTGAATGAATGAATGAATGAATGAATGGAAATGAATGAATGATGACTGCCTTTAGTGTTTTGTAGAAGTGCAGGATGCTATCAAGTAAGCAGACTTGGTCTAGTGTGAGGATAAGTACCTGGAAATGAATAGGAAGATGGTGGTATTGATGTTCAATATATAATTCTGATTAGAAGGCAAGTAGGACGAATATAGAAAATAGGCCTTCAATTTAGGAATGTAGGAGTTATTTATAACCGTAATGCAGTGAAATTTGGAGGTAGAGTGAAGGAATGCAATTCAGATTAGAGTTCATCCTGAAATGAATTAGTCAGAAGATACAAGAGCTTTTTCCAGAAAAGTTGATCCAAACATGCTAGCTTACTTATTTACTAGAGGCCCGGTGCACGAATTTGTGCATGGGTGGGGTCCCTTGGGGTGGCCTGTGGGGATTGGGCCCTAGCTCGCACCCCCAGCCTTGCCGCCCCCTAACCTCACCTGGCACCCCACTGTGGCCTGGCGCCACCCGCTCACCTGCTCCACCATCCTGCCATGATCCTGCTCTCTCAGCTGCCTCCACCTGCTGCCTGCACCATGTCGCCAACGCCCGCCATGTTCTATGCTGCCCCCTGGTGGTCAGTCCACATCATAGCAAGCGGTCGAACTTGCAGTTGAACAATTTGCATATTTAGGGTAGAAAAGAAGATATACTACAAAAAGAGGAAATTGTTTTTAGATATTTTTACTATTACACAAAAAAGGAAACGTGAACACTTAATAACATGAGTACTATGGTAGAGGCTACTGGGAGGATCTCAGTTATCCTCTGGGAGTTATGCCCACTTTCATCTTTCATATGAAATGTTGAATGAATAAGAAAGTCTAAAAGGATGTTTTGGATTGGTTAACATCTTCCATCTAAATTCTCAGTCCTCTAATTTCTTTCTTTCTTTCTTTTTTTTAATCCTTACCTGAGGATATTTTTCTGTTGCTTTTTAGAGAGAGTGGGAAGAGAGAGGGAAACACAAGAGAAATATCGATGCGAGAGAAACACATCGATTGGCTGCCTCCTGCACAAGGCCCAACCAGGGTTCAGGCCAGGGAGGAACCTGCAATTGAGATACTTGCCCTTTATTGAAATCAAACCCGGGACCCATTGGTCTGCAGGCCAACGCTCTATAGCCCTCTACTCTCTTAGGAAATGAGAGCACTGAGAAATCATGGTAGATTGTTCACAGAGCACCAGAAACCCTGGCTGCCTCTTTTCCATGTGCTTTTATAAAATTTCTTAATTTCTGTGAGTTTGGTGTCTTAATGTTGTTGTTTTTTTAACTTTCAGGTGTTGGTAAATCATGTTTATTGCTGCAGTTTACAGACAAGAGGTTTCAACCAGTGCATGACCTTACTATTGGTAAGTTTTATAAAAGAGATGAGAAGCATTCGAAAGTTTTGAGTAGTGGAAATGGAAGATGCTTTCAGTTGCGATCAACTAGGGTCTAATTAAATAGCTATGAGTCAACAAAAAATCAGTGAAACTTGATTTGTTGCTGTGCAGAGTTCAGTCTCCATCACTTTTTAAAAATATAATAAATAATAATGCTAATTTTGTAAAAGTGATTGAAATGCAGCAGGACATTAATACTTGTTTTTTTAACTATTGTTGAAAGTATTACATATATCCCTCTTTTTCCCCCATTGACCCCTTCTAACCTTCTCCTGCCCCCCACCCCAGGCCTTCCCCACACTATTCTCTGTGTACATGGGTTATGCATATATGCATACAAGTTTTTTGGTTGGTCTCTTCCCACCCACCCAAGACATTAATAATATTTTTTATTGTATTTAATGATTAAACAAATGAGAAACAATATAGCATAGGGGTCAGAAGCATCTTTGAGCCCTGGAAACAGCACCTGTACAGTGGTCCTGCAGCAGAGGTGGTTTTAGCCAGTCAGTTTCAGTATCTTCATCCCTCTACCCCAGATGTCAGTCCCAGAGAAGCAGCGTCTGCCTGCCTTGTCTGGCCACCCTTGATAACAGTAAAGGGCCTGTTTCTAGTTTGTAGTTGTTTTTTGTCAAATTTAACATTGTGCATTGGATTAAAGAAATCTTTTTTTAAAAAATATATTTTTATTGATTTCAGAGAGAAAGGGAGAGGGAGAGAGAGAGAGAAACATCAGTGATGAGAGAGAATCATTGATTGGCTGCCTCCTGCACCCCGCTACTGGGGATTGAGTCTGCAACCCAGGCATGTGCTCTTGACTGGAATCGAACCCAGAACTCTTCAGTCCATGGGCCGATGCTCTGTCCACTGAGCCAAGCTGGCTAGGGTGGATTAAAGAAATCATGAATTCCAAGGGCATTGCACTTTTTTCTTTTTTTATTGTGGTTAAAAGCCCATTTATGACAATAGATTCATGAAAAGGCTTCAATTTTGTCAAATATCAGTGATATATAGTATTTTGTACTGTTGTACATTCTTTTTAAATATATTTCCTAGAACATTTGTACCACTTTTTTCCCTCAACTCCTCTCATTTTTATGTCATTAATGGTAAGCTGATGATGGTTATGTTGTGTGACCTCTCACCTCGTAACATAGGATATATATGACTATATATATACACAAATATAGTGTGTCCCCCCAAAATGTATACACACTTTAACATCTGATAACTCAAATTTAAAAATGAAATGTATTTTAATAAACACTACTCTTCTGAAATCATCTCCTTTTTTTCTCCTTACCTTTTGATAATTAAATGAATACTTTCAAACATGATGATAAATGCAAGGAGAAAGACCAAGTAGTAAACTTGTAAGTGTAAAGTTTGTATTCCCTTTCACTTGCAATTTGCCTAAAATCATAATCATAAGTTGAAAATGTACACAGAAAAGTTTCATATTTATTATTGGCAAAGATATTTGCCATGGAATAAAGTTTATGACATATTGACTGAAAAGCAAATGCAGAACAGCATTTATATGTTCTCATTTACATAAAACTATATACTTATTCTGTGCATATATATATTCATAGAGCAGTGTCTGGAAATATGTTTTAACAGTGGTTATCTCTAGTTGATAGCAATTACTGGGAACCAAGTCTATGATGTTGAAATTCTTCTATCCCTTTCAGTGATTTTTATATGACATTAGTCATTTTTAAGAAATGTTAATATTCGTTACTAATAATTGTGGTGTTTTTTAAAATATATTTTTATTGATTTCAGAGAGATAGAAACATCAGTGATGAGAAAGAATCATTGATTGGCTGCCTCCTGCACGTCCCCTACTGGGGATTGAGCCTGCAACCCCGGCATATGTCCTGGATAGGGATCGAACCCAGGACGCTTCAGTCCGCAGGCCAACACTCTATTCACTGAGCCAAACCGGCCAGGGCAGCTTAAGTCTTATTAGCACCTCTACCTTAGCTTATATGTTTACTAAGGATAGGAGCTGTATTTGTAAATATTCATCTGTATATCACCTGGCATAGCATGTCCTCCAACTAAATGTCTTTTTTTTTATCCTTAAATGTGAAATAGATTCCCACTATATTATGTAACAAATCGTTTTCTACTCTATTCAGGTGTAGAGTTCGGTGCTCGAATGATAACTATTGATGGGAAACAAATAAAACTTCAGATATGGGATACGGTAAGTATAGCAAAAATACATTGTATGACTTCAGAAAAGTTGTTCTATAAAAGTACATTGTATGTTTATTTTGTTTTCATGTTATTTTATGCCTGTTATGATTTGTTAAACACACACACACCCCTACAGCCATGAGATGAAATGTGGTACCAAGAAAGATTAGTTTTTCTTCTTTTTTTTTTAATCCTCACCTGAGAATATGTTTGTTTATTTTAGAGAGGGGGGAATATAGAGGGAGGGAAAGTGCGAGAGAAACATCCACGTTAGAGAGAAACATTGATCGGTTGCCTCCCATACATGCCCTGACTAGGAATCAAACCCTTAACCTTTCAACCCACTAAGCCACACTGGCCAGGGCAAGATTAGTTATGCATTATTTTCAACAGGTGTACCCCAGCTATTAGATGTTGGTGAACATGAATGCTCAGGCTGTGGTCTAAACATAAATACTACAGAAACTATGTTTTTAAGAAAAACAAGCAGCATGTCTGAAATACACATGTAAGGTAAAATATGAATGCCAACACTGTAGAATCTTGATCTGACAGTGTATTAATTTTACAAGTTTGATTTAGTCCCAACCACTTGAAGCCACCTTGCTTTCAATCCTAATTCTATCATTTACATTTACTGACTGCCTATTACTTCCTATATAATTTTTAAAAACCTTTTTATTGAATTTATTGGAGTGACATCCTTATCTAATAAAAGAGAAACATGGTAATTGGCGTACAACCGCTACCCTTCCCATTGGCTAATCAGCAAGATATGCAAATTAACTTCCAGCCAAGATGGCGGCCAGCAGCCAGGCAGCTTAAACTGAACATGAGGCTTGCTTGCTTCAGTGACGGAGGACTCCAACATTCCCCGCCTGCCGCTCCAGGCCTCTGAGCTGCAATTCTAAGCAACTATGTAACAAATATAGAAGCTAAACAAAACCCCAGAAACCAGCTTTAGTCCACCAGGCTTCAGCCATCAGGATCGCAACATTGTAAACAAAGGCCAGAAACCTACTTTCAGCAGCAGAGGCCTAAGAGCTGGAGCCCAGCCTCAAAGCTAATGG